CTCCCCAACCCCGCTCCCCACACATATTTTCCTCCTGAGCCTTTTTCCAAGGCGCCTAACGACAGGCCAACTCATCGGAGGGGGGCGACGAAAGCGGCGACTAGGCGTGAATTATGACCTATTGAAACCTCAAACAAGACCCAAGCTCAACAACAACTGACTCACTTTCCCCCCACCCAGCTTTTCCCTTTTCCCATTCAACACACACCCCTTTTCCTGGGACGCTCCTTGCCCTCCCCCTGTTCACCCCCCTCTTGTCTGCAATTTTTACTTTATGACTTTATTCTGTCCTCGTTTTATGCATTTTTTATGCCGCTCCGTTGCGGTTTTCTCACTTTGTTGGCCAACAAATCCACTAACAGAGCCACCCCTTTGGCCCCGAATGGGTTAATATCCCACCACACCGCTCCTCCGATCCCTGTCCCCTGATCCTGTTTGAGTTTGTTATCCCTGCTGCATTATTTATGCATTATTTAGTTGAAGCGACAATTATTGGCTGTCGGACAGGGTAATGGGCGTGGGTTAATGTCTGCCACATGTGAGAAATGGGGGTATTATGAAAGTTTAATGCTGCTAAAGGGGGTATATATTATACATCATATTCTGAATTAAAGTTCTTAGCAAGCTAATGGAAAGGTTGGGAGGAGGAGGAGTAAACTAGTTGGAAAGGAGTGGAGTAAACTAACCTACAGGAGAACTCTCAAACATAAGCTGCTCCAGCTTTCGAATTATTCTAAATATAAAATAAAATCAAAAGTCATATTAACCATAAACATGCACAAACCTTTCTGCCAGATGGTAACTTGAGATGTTTGAACCAATTACGAACCCCTTTTTTCCCATTTTCCCACCCAAACGCAAATCATTTGCCATTAAAAAGAGCCCCAAGCTAAACTCCGATTAAAATGCATGTAAAAAAGGAGGCTATATATGGCTTATATAGTAAGTAAACTATCCACGTGTCGACATTTAGGTCCAATAAAAAATATGAAACGAAACCGCCTAACGCCTACCGCCCCTACCCCTTCGTGATAAAAATCTATAGTTAGAAACAGAAACTACCAAAATGTGAAACGTAAACAAGCCGGGAATTTGTTGCCACCCAAAAATATGATGAAACAGACACATAAAACTGCGGCCAGCTCGGTTGGCTTTAATGCAATTATGTGTCCCGAAAAAAAAGAGAGGAAACTGGGTGGCAGGAGGGGAAGAAAGTGGGAAAAAGTTTAAGTGAGGAAATTGCGTGCAAAAGGGAAGAAAATTTATTGGAAAACCAGGACGAAAAACGAAATTAAACACGCGCTGGGTGCCCGCCCGCCACTGCCTGCTTTCATTTTCTCTTCCCGCAGTAAAAAAGTCTGAATTATGTTCCATAATAAAAAGTTATGACTGTAAAATTTTTTAATTGCACATTTGGGAGAGTTTTTTCCTCTCCGTTTTTTGTTTATTTAATTTGAAATTCGTTTCTGGCTCAGACACCGCAAGGAACTTTATTGGCCGACTCGATGTTGCCTTAGCCAAGAGCTGGCTGCGTACGAATGTGTCAATACTTCGGGCCAAGGCAAAGTTTTGCCATTGCGGTTAAAACCAAGTTAAATGCTTTAAGTAAAAACAGCTGCCTCGTATTTAATTTTATTCAGCCTTTGTTCTGACTTTGGAGGAGCAATTAAATGGCCGTCGGGCGAATGTGTTTCTTTTTTTTTTGCTGGGTGAGTTTTCCGCAAAAGTGTTTTTCTCGAGTGACTCGGCTGCGGCGACAGGAAATTGAATTATTATTATTGACAAACTTCGAGACTGCTCGAGGAAAGATGAAGCCAGGAGTTCTGAGGGAATGCGACATTCCTGGGCTGTAAACCGAGATCGAGAGGGAAATTTGATAGACACTGCGAAACATAAATGTAAATACAAATTCGAGACACTGTTTGCCTACAGAAGTGGAGAGTCTGCCAATGTTGATTCACCGCAGAGTGAATGTGTTTTGCCTAAGACTAATTGGTTCTCAATTTGGAAATAGTATTTGCTGAATATTTGGTAAATGAAACTTAAAAGATTTTCCTTTTAAATTGGTTTGTTGATTTTGGAAATCATTTTCCTTAATAGTCTTTAAAGATTCGCCATAAATAACTCTTTAAAGGCATAAAAAAGGTTTTCTCTTCAATTTTTATATGTCATTTGGCAGGAATAAATTCTGTTTTTTTAGTTTAGTAAACTGAAAAAAGAGGATTTTTCCACATTTCATTTTGCTGGCGAGTTTATTTATGGTTTTCTGGTTCATTTGCCTTTTGTTTCATGAACTCGTGATTTTAATTACAAGGCTTTGTCACTATTTATAAATATTTATTATATATTTTTAAAGCATTTAATTTCAGTTTTTATTAAGTAATTTAAGCTCTTAACACCCTCTGAGTTCAGGCTCAGCCACTAATCCTGTGCCATTCCTAAGTGCCACAAATTCCAAACTCCCCAGAAAACTTTTCACAAGCAAATTTGTTTGTTTTTTCATCCTCAATGTCCCACTTTGGCTGATCCCCTCCCCTCGCTCCCAAATGACATCTGTCGTCCATCTGCATTTTTGCTGGCCTGGCCGAGTCTCTGGCTAATTTGCTTCTCTTTTGCTTTAATCTGGTCGAGTAAATTTACAAATTAATTAAAACAACAAACAAAAGAGCGAACAAAAAAACTGTCTGGAAAATCTGGAAGGAGAAAGTAAGACGGACGGACGAGCAACAGTCGCGGGGCCAAAAGTCAAAAATATTTAAAAAAAAAAAACGGCAGCCAAGAAAAACTTGAAAAAACCTCGCAGACAAACAGCGAAATTAAGGCACTAAAAACGGAGGCAGCAGACAACAACAATGGGCCAAAGGACCGAACAGGTCTGAATTTTGGGCAGCAGGTTTTGGATATCCCTCGCCGTGTTTTGGCCCTCTTCCTTGTTTGCCAGCCCGAATTCAAGGGACACCGCAGCAACACAGGAAAACACAGGCAGAGGCAACAATAACAGGGCCAACAACAAGGCCAAAAAACAACATTCTGTCCCCGTCGGCAAATGTAAAAAAGTCAAAAGTGGCAAAAACGTTGGTTGATGATGCAAAGGGGGGGTGTTGCAGAAAGGACCTTTTCTTTTTTTCTTTGCTCTGTTCTGTGGGCAGGGAAAAGCGCGTGGAAACGCACAGAAATAATAATAATAAAAGCGGGAGCTCTCAAGGAGGGAAAATGGGTACGGCGGGGGTGGTCGGTGGGTGCTAGGCGATTTCAGTGAGCCGAGAGTAAATTATAAATTAACGCTGCAGGCGACGCGAGGTCAACTTGGCGCTGTCCTTTGCTCCATATCCTCGCTCTCTCTCTTTCTGCTGATTCTCCACTGCTTTCTGCCGCTGTTCTTTGACTCGCTCACATACGCATGGCCACGGATCCATGTCCTTTCAAAAAATATAAAAAACCACAGCTAAGAGTGCTTCAGGACTAGGAGATACCATGTAGTTTCTCATTGGAAAACTTCTTGGATTGGAAAACAAATTTCTTGCAGATGAAGTTTATAGTCCACATCCCAAATATTTGAGTTTTAACACTCACAGATCCTGAGAAAAGTCGCTTAAAGCCTTCTCAACATCATTCAAAACTCTTACTTTCTCAGGCTATTCAAAATTTCAACCCATACATCATACCCTAAACCCTCCAAACACTGGGTAAGTAGCAAAAAAAAGGAAAACAAAAAATTAAACACGAAAAACACACATACAATGGAAACTCGGCACGCGGCCTCAACTGACCGCAAAAAACATAACGAGAGGAAAAGGAAAACAGGGCAAGGAAAGCGGGGAGGAGTTGGTCTCACAGCAGCAGGAGAAGGGGCAGAGTGGGTGGAGGTCAGGCAGCGTGGACAAGTGCCTCAATTGGCGTTGGTGGCGATAGTAAATTCTCTCCTGGTTCTTTTATTCCAGGAGAGGGGGATTTTCCGAATTACCAACATGGAGTTCAAGTGCAGCTGGTGTGGAGAAAGGAAAAGGGATGAAAAGCTGAGGGGAGCTGAGGGTGGCTCAGGATGGCTTTCCCACCAGATGACATGATAATTGAAAATAAGTTGAGATTTGGCCGGAGAGCTTAAGGGCGGAACAGTAGCTGAAATTCCACTTGCTGGTTAATAAAGTTAGGAAAAGCCAAGGAGTAGGAAAATAAGAAGTTGCGGAGAGGATTTCGAGTTTAAAGTTGAAAGATAAGTTTTATAAAAATATCTTTAAAATGCTTGAAAGTTCTGATTAAACATAATATATTGATAGAAGATAGCCAGAAGTTCTAAGAAGAACAATACTTACTAGTTTAACTTCAAATGATTCAATAACCTTAACTAATTGATTCCTATTTACCAATTTTATTTCATTAAAACTCTAAAAAGCGACCTTTTTATACAGAAAGTCTTCTCAAAAGGCTTTCCCCTTAGCTACCCGAATATGTTTCCAACTTTTATATGGCATATTTTTAATTTCTTTTACCATTTAGGCTTCCTCTTAACTTTATGACACGTTCAGAACTTCTATTTTCCCCAAAAAGCATTTTCATATTCCTCAGAAAGTTGCACGAGTTTTTAAAGGCTTACGGCTGGCTTGATGGTTGCACTTTTATTCCCGTTCCCGCAGGGACGGCCGCCATGTCCCCCCAGAGATTATTCACCCAGTCATGCATTCATCCAGGCGATGTCCATGACAAATATGCGGGAAACATGAACATAAACCCCAACAGGGGGCGGGGCCATCGGAGCACGAGAGCTCCCCAATGAACAGGTGTGTGGGCAAAGGGGGTTGCTGGCACAGAGAGGGTATGGGGAGGGTAGGGGGAGTGGGACACACGCGTGCACAATTAAAAGTTTCATTGACTCGCAACATGGACATGAACGGACATCCGCCGAAGCAGGATCCTTGGGGACGGGGCGGAGGGGTGGCAGCATAAATTTGTGCCTAGTTCGCTGTCATGATTCGGATTTATTTTCCAGATATGCAAATTACTTTGTTATTTAATCCTTATGTGTAATCCGCTGGGCATCATCCTGCAGCTACGCTCACAGTCGCTTATAATTCTCAAACACTAAGACACTGTGCCACACGAATCTGCGGCTGTTGCAGCAGCAGCAACATCTCACGAACACTCCAACTTTGGGTTATTATTAATTAATATAGAATTTTGGCTGTCTGGAGGTGATTGAATTACTTAATTTGGGCTAACTGTAGGGCTTTTACTGTTCCCCGCACGAAGTTGCAACAACTCGCGACGAACTGACGACAACCGAGAACGAACTTCGTGCAACTTGAAGGATCTTTTGGACTTTCAGAGGCTGTGCTTTTGGCTTGGCATTGGTCACTTTTGGGGTTTCGATTCTTCTAATTTCTAAATTCGATTTAAGCACTTCTTGCCACAAAATGGGGCACGCGACGCAATGGTTTGCTGATCGAAAAACAGAATTCAAAACGCAACACTACGCGCGTCTCGCGATTTCGAGTACCACAACGCTTGAATCTCTCGGCAATACTAAACGCAATTTATGAATCGAGTCGGCGACTGCATCGCCAGTGGAACGCATTCCTCGTCTGTGTATCGTATGTTAAGAGTGCGTAGAGAGCGTGGAGTACGCAGGCGCCGCCTTTATGGGAGAGAAATTGTGAGAGAGAACGGAAATCCACTGAATGTGGATGCTATGTTAATATTTAATTCAATTTTCAAGAAGTTTTACTGCTGGCCAAGAAGTTTTCGATCTTGTTAGCAAAGTTAGCTTTGATTTCATTTAACTTTTGCTATTCAAATTGATTATCTTGGATATGTTTTTTTAAATGTTGAGTTTAAAGGATCATTAAGGTATTTATATTATTAAAGTTATATCAGTTGATTTAAAATTTAACATTACTTTAAAATATATTAGTAATAATAATTGCAAGTTTCTTATGGCTCTTTCTTTAAAATGTTAATAAATTATTATTTTTTAATCTTATTTTGTTTTACCTAATTTAATCTTTTAAGTTATGATCTTACAACTTTTAAGTTAACATTTGCTTTGGCTTAAAAGTCACTTAACATTGCCCACAAAATGACACACATTTCGAAAGAGTTCCACAAACAAAACCTGACAGAATCAACAGCTCGCTCACAAAGTCCACTTTAGAAACTCAGAGAGAATAACATAAGTTCTAAGAAATGTCTCAGTGGAAGCTATTACGCTGCTGTGAATTAACATAAAGGGTTTATGTAAAAATAAACCTAAAATAAACTAATAAGCTTAAAAATTTTATAAGCAATATTAAAATGCATTTTTAATAATTTAAAATATTTAAAACAGTTGTTAAATTTGTATTCTTATATATATTTTAAATGCTCACAGTCTATGTTAGCTATTAACAGAAGGTGGAACATACTCTTTCGGAGTAAAGTCTTCCACACTAACATATGAGTAACCTGTAAAAGGGGAACTGCAAGCAAGTAAACAGTTTTCGGAGTGCTGTAATGTTAACCCCAATCTATCTTATCAGAACTGACCTATTCCATTCCGAAACCCCAAGAATCAAGCGGCTTTTAAAGCCTTTCATATAATTGTCATCCAATCTTTGCTGCAAATTTGGTTACATCTCAATTTAAGCTTTAATAAAATTTTATTGCCAGCTTAATTATTTTTGCATATCGCTGCTGGGTTGGAAAAAACGGCTTAATATATATTTAAATAAAGTGCAACGAACTTAATTACGTGTAAGTGGCCACATTTAAATTTAATCCTGCGGGGAATTCCCATTTCGCCCATAACTTTCCAACCGAAATGCTGGCGGCATTAAGCCAAACAAAAGATAAAATGCAGGTAACAAAAAATGAAATGATAAAAAGGGAAATAATATATATATATATATATGGAAAATTAAACCGAATGCAGAGGTCATATCGGACAGTTCGATCTGAAGGGATTTGGGTAATCGGAGGAACAACAGAAGTCTGTTTATTTTTCGATTTTAATCTCGATGCAATCTGGAAAAGTGCGTTTTCGCCCAAAGTGGTCCAAATTTAGTCGGGTTACGACTCTCCCAATGCAATCTGAATAAACTCTGGGAAGAAGACAAATGCGGCACCATTCCAGCTATTAAGGCAACCGAATACAATGACAGTACGAAATAAAAAATAACGTCAATTTTAATACCAATTAGGATACTTTTTTCCACTGCCCTCCTCCTCTCTTTTATTCCAATGGAAATGCAGGGAAAAATAAGGAGAGGAAAGCGGGTGAAGAGTGCGTTGGAACCTGCCGAGTGCGACAAACAAAGGAAAGGAAACCTGTTCACCTGGACGGGGACGTGGCAAGAGGGACAGGTACGAGTACGTATCACCGGCGAATCGGACGGAGAAAAAAGATTCCAAACTAAATAAAAAGCAAGGCAACGAGAAAAGCGGAGCGGAGCGCAGTTGAAAGATTAAAATCAGAATCAACGTAAACAGCGGCAAAAGAAAATAATGCAAATTCAGATGAGTATCAAAAGTTGAAGTTGAATTGTGTGGACGCTGACAGGCGGAAGGGGAGTGGCACTGCAGCAGCCAGGACAAATGCTGGCCAACAGAATGCTGCAGAGATTCATCCCGGGAGCAGCGAGCATTCATCAGTGGGCGGACCTCGAAGTTCACAGCGTTACACGGCAAAAATAAAGAAATAAATAAACATTCACGGAGAGGGAGAGAGAAAAACAGTTAAAGGAACTCCTGAATAGACCCTGTCAAAGGTCACTGAACCATTGGCCTAACTCACAGTTAAGATATGTAGCCATGTAATCTGCACTTACATTCATAGATACACTTCACAGATACAGTCTACTATCACAGAAGGCTCACAAGTTGTTGGTCATCAAGGAAATGACAGGTATAGGAGTTGGGAAATGGGAGACTTAGGCAGAAAAATAAATGTTTATATTCGATGTATTTATGCACTGCTTATTGGAATCGAGTGTTTTGGTTAGTCGATCAAGTGAAAAGGTTAGAGAAACAATATATGAATAGATATTAGGTCCTGAAATTATGATTTTTTTGTGGGAAAATGAAGAAGTTAGAACTTAATGGGTCATAGAAATATCTTAAAAACTGCTTACTTTTTAAAATTGATTTATAAAGATTAAGGAAGGAGGAAGGAGGGAGGATTTGCACTTAGTTTAACCACTTTTAAAAAGAGGCAATGGCAAGCTAGTCTTAAGCAAAAACTTGTAACTTGAACATACTAAACTACTCCCATATTTTCTCTAAATATTTTCTCTCAACTATTTATCGCAGTGCATCCAGATCCAAGGCCAAAAAGCAGGACAGTTGAACAACAAAATTAAGTCGGACATTTAGTTTGGATTATGCCAGGCGGAGTGAAGTGCTGGCCAGTCAAAAAAGTCGAGCATTTCGAGCAGCTTAAAATGTGTTTCTCCCATTGTCTCCGATGATGCCTGGGCTCTTCTTTTTGTTGTTTCTTTAGTTCTCTCTCTCTCTCTCTCTTTTGGATTATGTATTTCGGCTTCAGTTGGGGTCAAAGTTGACACGCATTTGCATAGGGAGGAGGGAAGAGGAGGTAGGAGGGCAGGCAAGGCAACAAAAGAAAATTCCCAAACAAACGATTTAAAAGGTTTTGCGGCGAAATATCAAAGCAAATACTCGAAAGAAATAATGGCTCAATGGTACGAAATGGTCTCATCCGCAAATCGTCAGCTTTGGGCCCATTTAGATGTCCTTTTTGGCCATGTTAGGTAGCACCCCTCGGGATAATCTGCATTATAATTTCATTGCTGTCTCACCTGTTACACCTTCTCGGATTGCTTTAGTTTCGGTTTGAGCCTCTTTTTTTCTTCCCTTCCTCGTCTGCAGGCTGAGGCCTGGCGCTTGATTTTATGACCCTCATTAAATGCGCTCACCAACTCGCTGGGTTATTTCGCGTTGGTCCCTCCCTCGCAGCAGCGCGCTGCTGGAAAAACCCATTCAGCCGCGATGCCCATCGCTTTTCCTTTTGTTTCTCGCCTCGGCGCCGTAGGGTGTCCACAAATGGGTTCTTCGAACTCGCATTCGGGATTCCGGGATTCGACCCGCTCGGCATTGTGTAAGAGTTTAGAGAGACAAATGGTTCTTGAGCCGCGTAATAGATCAGCGGAATTATCTTGTAACAATGTGCTCAGGCTAGCTGAATAGCCAGCTAATGGGTTAGTTTAATGGCGATGGGGGAACTAGTTCAATATAAGTTTTCCCAGAGATTTATTAACCCGAAGGTGAGGTCAGGTAAAGTTATGCTTCTAATGGTTTCACTTGCTATAAGCGGCATTAGAAACCACTATGTTTTCTATTCAAAAAGCACAGAAAAGCGATCAATGGAACTTATCATTTATCAGCTGATAGTTTTTGGACTCCTGATAAGTTTACAAATCCCTCTACTTAATCATTTTCTATATTTACCACCCAATCTTTCAAATTAGCTTCTCCCCAGAAATCCTTCTAAATTTAGACCCTTCAGAGATGTAGCCTTTGTTCCTGCTTCTGGTTCTATGCCAGCAGCTCATTCAACAGTTTAAGCAAATAAAACCCAAACAATTTTCAGCAGCCCGAAAAAGAGAGGAAAACAAACTCCTGAAGCATTTAAAGAACACTTTTTTCCGACATTTGCGTTCCTATTCCGCATTTATTATCGCCGGGCAAACAGTTCAAAGCGAAACAAAGCTCTCCAATGATGTCGTTTAATGAATTTTTATCTGCAAGGAGAGGGGAGGAGGATAAGGGAGGGGTAGACAGGGCTCTTAGAGGTCATAAAAAGGGTTCACAGACGATTTGCTCGAATTAATTGCGCTGCCATTAACGAAGCGACGCGGCACACTGGAAAGGGAATGGCAATGACAGTGGGTGGGTGGGTAACTCCTCCTGCCCTCTTCCAGATAAAAGAACAAAAAGTGGAAATTTCGGTGAAATTATTCTCGCTGGTAATTTGTTTTTAGCCTTTGTTGTTGACTACGAAGGGGAAATTACGAATTCGCTTGAACTGCACAACAATATTTGTTTATTTGATTTTATTTCGCATGTTTTGTTTGCCCCCCTCGGTCCCTTAATTTTATTTTTTCGGTTTTTTTCCAGGCTCCGGAAATGCGAATTGAATTGCGGGCCAAGCCAAACAAAGCAACAGGTTTCTGGTTAATTGAATTCGGTCTGAAGTTCCCCTTCAACCCCTTCGAGAAACCCCCACAAAAAGTTTCCAGCTTGATTTTTAAATATATTTCAGAGATTAACTTGCGACCTTTCGGGGGGATTTGCAGTCTAGCTCATTAAGCTTTTGTCTCTTCTGAATTAACATTTATCTTAATTAAATCTGTACAAATTGAAGGCATGCCAGATGCCTATCGCGATCATTAGATGAACAAATTTTTATGGAACCTCTCTACTGGCTAAGATATCTGTGTATCTTTGGCAAATTTATACGACTCTCGGGCCTCTAAACTATCATTAGTGAAACACAGAGAACACATCCTGCAGATCCGACTAATTAAGTTGGATAGCTCGTATCTCCCTGAGTGATGGATGCGATAAAGAGACAAGCTTCTGATACTCTGCCAGCTACCAGAAAGAATAATCAAGGCAAGGGGGAGTCATTTAACAAGCGTTTTTAGAGGAAGGCGTGGCTCTGGCAGGAGCCCAGTAATTATCTACTACATCATATTCAAATCCAATGATGAGAATGCAATTAAAAATGCATAGAAGCAGGGATAGCCACCGGAATGGAGGGTTCACTCAACTGTGGCTTTGATTGCTTCATTTCGTTGTTACCTAACCGTCGAGAGACCCTAACCTGGGTCACAATCTGCTTGAAGAAGTCGCATGACAAGATTCGGGGAGCAGGAGAGATTAGAAGTCAATCCAGTTAATCCCCAAAGCGCAGCTGCCAGATCGTAAAAATCAACGCAGGGAAAAACTACAAAATCAAAGGGGAACCCTTTTGACTCCTCCTCTCCGCCTCCAATCCGTCTGGAATTTTTATTGTATCCGCATCTTTATGGGCGTTTATTAATTACCCATTGAGGCATTGATTTTCATGGGACAGCCAGCGGCTTCGAAAGAAGTTTCTTGTTTTCTCAGTTTTTTTTTTTTCGTATTTTTGGGAGCAGCAGGAATGAAAGGTTCGCCTTCAGAGCGTCTCCTCCGGTGAATGACAAAAGTCCAAGGCGTTGAATTAATTTGTGTCCACGGTCCACTCAAGTTCTCCGTCTTCTCATTTCTCCTTCCTGCCACAATCTCCTCCGCTTTCGATAAAGCGTTTAGTTGTGGTCGTCGTTGCCACTGATAAATCGTTGAGTCCGGAGTTGGGCTTTCAACGCTCTTAAAGCTGCACTGAGCACAAATTTCGAAAGTAAACTATTAAAGTGCATCTACAAAGTTGGTTTTAATAAAGTTTAACTAAAACAAAACTCCCAAAGACTAAGGTTTCTGATCGTGATTAAATATTTACCCAACTAAGAGCGAATGGCTATTGAATTCCCACTTCCGAACCTCTTTTTTCTCTCTGTGTGTTAACCATTTCATTACGCGTACGGGTATTGATGATCGGCTGTCGACCAAATGACCAAACTTTAAGATAAGAGAAGACCCCAAAGACAGATGCCCCGAGAAGCTCTCGAAATGTGAGACCTGAGAAAATGCAACCGTTCGGCGAGATAAGCGGCCGGGGCCCAAGAAGCTTCTCCATTGAAAAGGCATTAAGGAATTACCTGAGCCTGCTTGCTAATAACCAGAAGGTAGGTGTGAATATGCCCGAGAAATGCCGGCGATAAAGCGTAAAGTTTAAAATTTTAATTAAGCCAAAAAGAGAGAGAAACGAAAAGCTTGGCCGACAGAGGGGAGAAGTCAGCTTTTGAGCAGCTTTTCAGGATTGCAGCTTAAGATGGTCTGGCTAATTGAATCCCCGGCACCCTTACTCCTTTTTTTTTTGAGGGGCAAGGAGGCGTGTCAGATAACTCAAAGCGATTTCTTTGGCTTTAAGCAGATGATATCACAACAAGGGAAAACAATAACAGAGAGCTCGTTCTTTTGCAGGGATTAAGTTCGATATGGCAGACTGGCCTTGGACTCAGCCGATTGTAAAGTTGACAAGAAATGGCTTGGATGAGGTAACCATAGCTATATCAGATACTTAAGTTTATTAAGTTTATTTTTTAATTAATATTTTTACTGAAAATCATTGGCTAGGTACTTTTCGGGATCATAGAACGAGGACATCACAATGCGACCGCTGAACTTGCGACCACTCAACGCGGTCAGGGCCTTTTGGCAATCTTGGACAGACTCGAACTGGACAAAGACCTTCCCCAAGCCCTGCGGCGGATTTTGGCCAATGGGTCGGGGGATTCTGATGCTGCGAACCTCTCCGTACTTGGCGCACTCCTGCTTAATGTCCGTGAGAATGTCCTCGTACTCCTCGTTGTCCAGCAGTTCCTCCGGCAAGACCATATTGAACAGACACAGAACCTCCGTGGCCACACCACCAGTGGATTGTAATGAAGGTAGCCCGGGAACCTGAAGTGCCGACATCTGACCAAGAAGAGAGCTCTTTCCGCCAGGAATGGATCTCTGGACGACCAGTCTGCGATCGCCCAACTGCATGCCGTGCAGGCCAGCGATGGCTTGATCCGTCACATTGGCATCCACGTACTCGAAGAAGGCGAATCCTTTGCTCAGGGTTGTGCCGGCTTCCCTCACCAGATTAAATCCTTTCAGATCGCCAAAGGATTGCAGAAGCTCCTTGATCTGAGTCTCTTCCAGGCAGGTGGGCAGCCCACCCACGTATATCTTATTGGGGGAATCGGGAACCAGATTGGATACACAGCTGGCAGAGATCGCTGGCAAGGTCAAGGTAGTTTTGCCCACCCCAAAGGTTTCGGTTTCAAAGGAACCCACAGAGGCCACTGGTTGGTAGTCGTGGGGTCTTCGGATCTTCAAAGTCTGTCCGCGAAAGCAAATCCCATCGAAATTAATAGCCTGGGTGGCCTCATCCATCGAACGGAATTCCAAGAAGGCGAAGTTCTTCTCCAGATTCGTTTGACAGGACAGCACCGCCCGTCCATCCGTGTTCTGCAATGAATCCAGTCCCAGCAACAGTATCTGCCTATTGAAGAAGTTTATCATGTCCTCCTCAGTAACGCCGAATGGAATGTTTCCCACATAAAGACGGCGTGCCTGTCGAGTGACCATCGCAATAGCCGCCGACTCCCCCGTGGGCACGGCATCCGGAATAATCCGGGAAGCTATCTGCCCGCTGGCCTGCATGGCTTTGTACTGGATCGGAGTCAGGTGGGAATAGCCGTCGGGCGGTATGTCCCAGGATGATGTGCCATGTCCCGGACGTCGTTTCACCCGTGGTCTGTCCGTAAAAATTGTATCGGAACGCGTGGGCCGCGACCGGGAACTGGAACGCGACCGGGAACGCTTTCTATTCAAGTAATGAGGCTTATACGACCGATGACGTCCCATAGTTTCCGGAAATTTTCCAAGGAACTAGCTCTTACTGGTGAAAAATTATTTAGAAAAATAGTAAGACCAAATTTTTGACAACTTCTTTGAGTGAAATGAAAGGGCTTCTTTTCGAAAGAAAAACTACTAGTTAATGGTGGCAACACTGAAAGCAATATTAAGCCTTGCAAATCTAAGATATAATAATTATTTAATATAAATATTTACTAACATAAATTACAAACTCATAAAAATATATAAATTTATAATAAATAAAAGGTTTTTATTGCTGAAAAAGGAAAAGTTTTCATGAAAGTTTATCCTTTCTTAGTAAATATTTTTACAAACTTAATGACCTCCCTTTTTAGGTTGTTAAATTTGTTTCTCCTTTTAAAATATCAAAATAATAGGTAAATGATTTTCAAGTTTTCCACTTTTAAGGTAATTAATGGACTTTCAGCTGACTTTCCCCTCTTAAAACCCAAAATCGTGACTACTTTACTTACCACATCCAAAGTTTGGTTAGCCTTAAAGCGCCAAATTAAACCGATTAAAATATATACCCCTCCCCCGTTCGAAAATATCAAAAATTCAATAATTTAAATGTGAATGGCTCGCTGAAAGCCGGCAATTAAGTCGTTTATCATACATCCGAATAGTTTGCAGCTTTTATTGTGATTCGTTATATCTTTCGAGAGAAAAACGTATCTGCGTATTTACGTATCTGCGGGTGCATTTCCAGCGAATAATCGTAATCATCATAATTTCCGTTAATATCGCCAATCAATTATAATTAATTGGCAACGGCTCGCCCGCAGGCCGAATAAATAGAGAAGAAGCCATTTGTTAGGGCCTGCCTTTTGGGTTTCGTCAAAAGAGCTGCGTGTGTCTCCATCGCAATGTGTGGTCTTCTTCTCGGACTCATCCTCCTCATCAGGGGGTTCTCTCGGGGATCGCATCCTCACGACATTCCTTGGAAACACGACAACGACGGCTTCATTCCGAGCCGAGGGGCGACTCAATTAATTCAAAAAAGGCGACACAATAAAACTGTCAACTCAGATCGGACAAAAGAGGGATTTTGAACTTGGGACAGAGGTAAGGGTTCTATTCAGGGAAAATATCTCATTTAAATTATTATATATATAATAAAAAATGTAAAGAATAAGATATTGAACTTTAGGCTAGACAATTAAGTCATTAAGAATCTGCTTTCTTACTTTCCAAATAGCAAAATAAACCATCTTTGATTTTCATAGTTATATTTTCTTCCTTACTCAAACAGTTTTTCCTCAGTGTTGTTTAGCTGCCCTCTGCCAACAACTCTCCGCCATCGAATCACCTAGAAACAACTTTGTCTGACCCAAAACCAAGTGATAATTTATGTCCCAAACCTCGATCCCCGACCATAACCACACGATAGCCTGCGGTCTGAGAGATCCTTTATGGAGACTTCGACATTCTTCTCCCACCAACCAGGATAATGGTCTACTGTTTAATGGCTATTTGATGGCCCAGCGATCGCGTACAGATAAAGAGATACAGTCAGAGTCATGATTCAATGCCAATTTGACACTTGCAAGTAGATGGTAAGGGACCTGCGAGGGGAATGCATACTAAAATGCAATCTCTGTCGGGCATTAAGCCTAAATTAAATATATTTCATGCAGTGTCCAAAAACCAATTAATTCTTTGTTCGGCCGTTTGGACTTTTGTTGCTGCCGTTGTCCCAATGGCTAGAACCTGTCCACAGGCCTGACAAACGCAATTAATTTGTCCATTTAAATTCAGGCAACGTCTCCCCACCACCACCGCCGTCGCCGTCGCCGACTTTCTGACACATCCCCGCATTGATGCCCATCGATGGTGTCCCACAGATGATGATGACGATGACGAGGAGGGCCCGCCCCTGGTCCGAAATTCCCTCCATTTTTCCCCAATCGCCGATTTCGATTTTGGCCTTTTATTTGAACAATAACGAAGGCGATAAATTAATTTTTTCCTTAACACACAAACAACTCAATAAAAATTCATAACAAATTGGACCACGTTTGAGTTTTGGCTACATGCACGAAATGGAAATCAGTTGAAGGCCAAAAGCCCTGTCCCATACGGCCATAACGAAAGCGTTCTGAACGAAATTGAAATTTTAGAGGGTTGTGGTGGGGGAACTGAAAACTAATGTTTAATTTAGATATTAAAGAGATTGCGAGGTAGATGATTTAATGGGTTTTTTAGTAAGTTAAGTTCTTACATTATTAAAATATTCAATTTGGTATTTAACCATAAGTTACGCATTAATTTCGTTGCGTTCTTATTTATGGATGAATCAAACAAATACAGAATTTAATTCCACCTTTCATTACGTGCAATTTCGCTTTTCCACCTAAAAACAAGGCCATATTTCTGATTCGTTAATTTAGCTCTTTTAAAATTGTCCATCATTCTGTTGTGGTTAGCCACCGAGACTATAATGCCATTGGAATTGCAATATTTATTTTTAAAACTTTTTTTCTGCCAATAGTTTGTTTTTAACAAAGTTTTTATTCCTTTTTATCAGCTTGTTTGTGTGACTTTCAAATAAAAAACTGGGATATTAATCAGAGAAAAGGAGGCGACCGCACAAGTTGAAAGAATTTTCTTTAGTAGAGTTTATGGGATAGATTGATATTTATACTTTTTAAGGCCAAAAGCCAAAGGCAAATTTGTGTGGGTGGAGAAGGGAGGGCCTCACTTGCGGTCAAAAACTGATTCCAAGAATCAGTTTGGGAACCCAAAAAGAAAACCAAAACAAAAGACAAATAATTTTATAATGAACTTTGGGTTCGGGACGAGATTTCATTGATGGGTTCGATTCCCGTTTCTCGTTTCTCGTTTTTCGGTGGCACCAATTGATTTGTGGCCTTAAGCGTGTGAACGTGATTTTATTATCAAATATTTTCCATGTTGTGTTAGTTTTAGTAAATTAAATAAATCATCCAATGGCAAACAGCAAAAAGTTTTCCGTCCGAGTTTCGGGTTTGTCAACAAGAATATTTCAATTTATTTTCTGATGAATCAACACAAAATAAAAAGCCATCACGGAATATGGTATATATTTTTCTATACATATATACATAAAATAATGAAAGCAGAAATAAAACAATTTTGCATGCAGCTTTTGCCCTTTGCCCGGAGTGTGGCCGTCTCTTTTTTCTGGCATTCTCCCCTCTCACTCCCTCCATAAATATCCCTCGAGTGCATCCGCAACTACTTCAGATTACAGATTTCAGCATAACAATTTGTTTTTTCTCTCTGGTTTTTGTTTTTTGTCTTTTTTATAGTTTTATGCAATTTCTCGACAATTTGTCGGAGGCTTCTTCTCGTGCCATCGCTTCGTTCTTCAGTTTTCAGTTTTGGGTGAGGAATTTGCATCATAAATTGTCAGAAATGTCATAAAAAATATATACATTTGTACATACTGCTGTCTGCTGTACATACATTCCGTTCGGTCTTTGTTTTTGGTGGCACGAAGGAGGAGCAGCAGTTGGGTGCGGTGGCAAGGGATTTTTTGTGGGAGGACATTGACATTCAGCTGGTTCTTCGTAATTTCATTTCACTTCACAACATCAGAGTGCCCCCTCTTTCCATTTTCTGGAGTTTTTCTCCTTCTGCCTTGCAGTTGCATTAAGCACGAAGATTCTGCTGCCCCTTTCTCCGATTTCGAAGCGGGAAAAGGGAATTCCTAATGATATTCTGGCCCAAATTATCCGCTTAGAGCTGGCAAAGGAGCAGTGTAATGCAGTTAGCTGAAATGCAATCACATTGGATCTCAGTTGGGGGCGGCAGCCTTAACTATTGTGAGGTTATCTGCGATTCTGCTTGTGTTTAATCGGCTAGCTAAGAAGGGGAAAGTGCGAGTTTAGTTACTTTTTAGACCATGCATATCAGAACATCTCTATAGATATAGATTTAAGACTAAGCACTATTTCCACACACTCATTCCTTTTCGATGATTTTCAATGCCAAAGTGAAAATCTCTTATCAGAAATCTAATAAATTAGTGGTTATCGTTTTGAACACACAAACCAGAAACTTTCAAAGAGTCTTGTACAGTCAAAGGGAGTTCCAATACAACCCCTTTTCTATAATGGCAACTCCGCATTTTATGTGCAAGTTTTCATAACTATCCGATTTCCAACAGCCAGTCAATGGACGCTTTTCCATTTCCCCAACCCAAACCCAACTATAAAGGAACTATGGAAAAGTCTTTGTTTCAACCCCAGCGACAAGCCACAAATGCCATAAAATGGAATCCCCCACCAGTTACCCCCTCCGGCCACCCCCAATACACCCACGAGCCGTTTCAACCCCCCTCTTTCTGAGTTCCCCCTCGCTGCATTTACAAAATTTATATCCTCCCCCCATGGAATTTAACCCTTGAACGCTTCTTCTCTGAAATTGATTTCTATGCAATTGTTGTTTCGCTCGAAGACTTTGAAGGAATTTATGTTTATGTTTTTCCCTTGGCCATTCTGCCCGACATCGTTATAATTCAATAACCAGATTCCTTCGACTCCTTCAAGGGGGACGGACGGACCCCTGCTCCTCCCTCATTCGCTGCCCTTTGTCTCGGACAATGCGTTAAAATCAATTCAGAATTTATGCACTTTGGCTGGGTAATTTATTTTATGAATGTTTAATAATCTGTGCATTGAGTAAATTTATGACAATCGCATGTTAATTGCCTGCTTGGCGCCGATATGTCAGTCAGCGAGGCGAAGCAGTGGGAGAAGCGCCTGGAAGGGATTGGGTTGGTTCGGGGACTTTGCTGGGGGATATTGTCACCCGGACAAGTGAGCTTTGCAGGCGAGTCGCCCGCTCATTTTGTTTACATTCAATTTCATAAGTGGTAGTCCATTGGTGGGGAGATCCGGAGCGGTAGTGGTGTGTGAGTGCTCCATTGACCAGTGTTGACTCTCTGGAAGCCTCAACCTTTCTGTTTCGCTGGGGATTGGGGATTGGGGATTGGGGCAGCGACA